AACGGCCCCGAGCGCATCATGAGTGCGGCATGTAGTGACGTTACATGACACGCATGTCATGTGTATCATGTTTGGACATGTCATTTACATATGTTGTTCGTTGGCGTCACGTAATACTGAATTTGGTACATGTGAAGTTAGCGAGACGGCCGCGAGTGCATCATGAGCGTAGCATGTAGTCATGTTGTTACATGACACGCATCACATGATTATCCTGTTTGCGCCAGTCACATACCTTCGTCTCCCATTCACGTAGTGCAATACCAAATTAGGTATATGTGACGCTAGTTAAACAGCGGTGAGCGCATCATGAGCGTGGCATGTAGTCATGCTGTTACATGACTCGCATGTCACGATTTTCATGTTAGGGTCTGTCACTTGTGTTTGCCATGCAATCATACCATACCAAAACAGTTATGCAACATGTGATGTGACCGAAACCACCGCAAGAGCTGCAGGACCATGAAATGTAAATCATGACCTTCATGACATACATGTCATGATTTTCATGTTATGACTAGTCAAATACCTTCTTCATACAGTCATGTTGTGCCATACCAAGTTTGGTATTGATACCATCATCGAAACAGCCAGGAGAGCTAAAAGTCATAGGTGGCTTGATAGATAGATAGATACGCTCAAAGTCTCTGAAGTTCACTAAGAAATGCTTGGCATTTAAAGACTGCTACCCCCCCCCCCCTCACGCCCTCTTTTTTTTTCATGATGGAGTTAAGTTTAGTCATTCTTTATTGGCGCTTAACCTTCCCGCCTCATAGCGCACTCCCATGTGCCGCGCAATACGGTGTCTTTGGAATCCTTAAACGAAAATTGAGCTGTATTCGCGTAAGATTGAGCAAGCATGGCACAAGAACCGCAAAGGTGATGTTTGCTGAGGGATGACAATGCTGCATCGGGCTCCAAGCAAGCTCCGGGGAATCGTTGTGTTTCGCCGAAGTGGGAGCGTGTTGAAACACGCGCAGAACGTATTCTGCAGTCAGTGGGGGGGGGGGGGGGGGGGAACTCGGGCACGATGCCGTTCACTTGGTGTGCTACTACGAGATGCTCGCTGTGCGAAACTTGCATTTCTGCGATGGTAGAAGCGACCAACGGAAGCGTCGGCGAGGTTTTAATTATTGGGTTGTGGGCTGCCACAAGAATGCGGACAACACCAAGGGACGCTCTCCAATTGTAAAGCTCTATCGGTTCCTAGGCAAGTCATGCCAGGGAACCGAAAACTGAGCCCTGTTCGCTGAAGATTGAGCAAGCATGACACGAGCACCCCAAAAACACGAGGCGAGCACATCAACTTAGCTTGCAGTAGTTGAAGCTCCGCTTGCTACCTCGCGGCAAAGTCAGCGGGCCATGCTCCCACAGCACGGAGGTCATTGCTAAATCTTCTCAGGCAGTTTAATGCCATGACCGTATATGATTAGTTCTTATTTATTTTTTAGCACGCCGCAAAAGTTTGCACATGACAGCTAGTACACGGCTGCTACTGCTAGATACCATGTCAAAACAACAATTACAGTGGACTCCCATTAAACAAAACTCGATTCAATGGGAAAGCCGCATAAACAAAACTATCCAGGGACATTTGGTTGGTCTCCTATATATTTAATCATAAAGAGTTTCAAGTAATCGGAACATTTTTTTTTCTCTTACGTCGGTTAAACGGAACTAAAACGGGCAAAATCCATGAACGGTGGAAGTGGCTACGGCCGTCTAGCAACCATGAAACAAATGCCAAAGTTAGCCTGGCCAAGCTAATCCAGCGATTGCCTATGTCCGCGCAGGCTGAGCAGCAATTGACGTCTCGTCGTGAACTTGAGGACAGCCTTGAGGAACCTATAGCTGAAGTTCAAGATGAGGACCTGTGCTCAGGTAGTGATGAGATGGTGTGTGATCCCGAGCTCATTTCAGTGGCTGACAGTGCAGCAAGAAATGCTGTCATCCTGTTGCAGCGCTACTTTTAACACGATGGTGGCACAGAGTTCCTGCCCAGCCTTTCAGCAATGCACTCCTACTATGTGAGAAAGTACTCGAACAGGGCCGAGCAAGTTGTTATCACCTCCTTTTTTCAGAATCAGCAATATTAGCAACATTTCTCTTTCTAATCAACTATAGTACGAAACCTTTTTGTTCAGTCAGCGACATTTGGTGCAATTGAAATAAAGTCATATTTCATTCAATTTGTAAGCTTTGCTTAAATGAAACTTTTCATAAATGGAACAAAACAGGAGTCCACTGTATATGATTCTTATTAAGGTCAACACAGCACATCGACAGAGTACACGGCTTCATGTCGACAGAATAAAACTTCCTCAAGGCATACGTTGTACATGGTATTGTCACGGACCTATGAAATGCATTTAGCAAAAGATGATCGTCTTCTATCGTCTGTATCACATAATGAACGTGATAAATGAGCTTTACTCCTTTTGTTATATTCACTTTTCGGAAGTGCTTGTCCAGCGCAGAGATCCTTTTGAAGCCACACTGCAGGCGGTACATTATGAGGCGAATCAAACGCACTGCACGCGCTCTGTACGAGCACGTAAGCGAGCGGCAGCATGTTAGCAAGAAGGGAAAACGCACCATAAAAATCCCCGATTTTTACTTTTCTACCAGAGATGGCGCCACCTGTCCAGAGTTGCAGTGCCACAATGTGTTGCTTTGGCATCTTTAGGAGCCCGATTTCTCAGTTCCCTTGCAAGGCACATTTGTCTAAATAAAGTAACAACGGCACGCACCCGCTGGCCCGACGACGGCACCGGATTTCTATCGCATGAGCCGTTGGCATGGCAACCAAAGTAGTCGCCGGCAATGCACGTTCACAGCACGTTGAGTTAATATTTGTTCCCACAGTAAAAGCGACATACACTTCAAGCTTCAGTTTCTGAGATGCTAAAAAATTCATATTTCCCGCGAAGCGTTTGGTGGCTACGGCTTCTGCTACAACGCATTTTTGTCTTGAAGTTGGGTCATCCCGCCGATAAAGGTCCGCTGCGGTCAGCGGACCGATTGGCATTGTTACTTTATTTGGTCGATCGCTTCTCGCGAGTGTCCCGACCTAATAAGTATATGTCTTACACCGTAGGTTAGGGTTAGGGTCTACGCACCAAAATTCCTGGATTTATTGATTGTGTAAACACAGGTGGCCAACGTAGTCACCATTTCTCGCTGAAATTAGCACAAATGAGAAAATTGTGAGGCTGGTAGGGCATTTTGGCGCAGTGTGGTGCAATTTCAGCAAGTTTCATGGTTCTGGCGCAGGTCGGCACAAAAATGGGGAACTGTATCAAATTGACGCAATGGGCACTGTTGCTGCCCCGCCCCCCTGAACTTTACTGTTAATCTTAATCAGCTCAACTGCACCCACTGCAAGACAAAGGACTCTCCCACGTTTATGTAATCAACCCTGACCTTGTCCTCTGCTTGCTGCTGCCACGCTATACATGCCAACGTCCAAACCTCATTACCTGCATTTGACTTGTACTCTTGAATGGGTATTTAAGAAAAACAATGAATTTGTTTAGATGGATAAAGTGCCCTCCCAAAACCCTAATGCTGTTAATCTTACAATCATTCCGCTTATTATTTGAGGAGAAAAAAAAAGGTCAAAGAAGCATTTTCGAATGGTAAACTTGAAAGTGTATTGGTCATATTTTTCGGACATCAGCTGAACGAAATTTCACGAAACTTGGTATGCTAAGCCTCTGGCCCCATCATTAGACAATATGTTTTATTTTCATCAGTTAGGAACGACGCAGGCCCTAGTAAACACCATCAAAATTTACAAGTCAGTGCATTTGGTGCAAGAATTTCCAGGTGGCTTTGCCACTCACCATTTCCTTTCGCACATTTCCTCACTTGCCAAGAGTCTTATTGTAGGGAGCATGGCAATTTTCTAATCGTAAAAGGGTAATTTACTGATAGCAGAAAAAAAAAAAACCTTTCTCTCTTTAACAACCAGCAGCTATGTTGCTTATGCGACACTTATCCTGCCCGCTACACTCATAATCAACAAAAATTCGTCCCACATGGAACCAATGACTATATCAGCAAAAGAAAGTTTTTTTTTCAACGTGAGATGGTCCCATTATTGGCATTTTTGGCTGGCGGCATCAGTGGCATATTCTGTGCACACATAAAGTGCTTTACATTCATCTGCGCCAGCCACGACATGAGTGCACGACACTGCGGCACCATTATAGTGTACTACAGCCCACCAGAGGTTAACAGTGAAGCATGGTGCAATTCCAATAGCCTGGGCACGCTTAAAGACGACGCAGTGACATTCTATCATTGGAGGCATAGTTTACAGCAGGCGTTACTGCAGAACATGGCTAGACAGGAGGGAAAATGTGCATGAGCTTACATCGTCCAACCGCACTCGCACAAGGCTGCTTTTGCTGCGAGGATGTCACAGAACACCAAAAATGATGCAAAAATTACCATCAGCCTCATCGAGTTGGCACAGAAATGATGCAGCACAACTGCCTGGAGAACAGACATGCGCACGCTGGACATGCAGTGTCTCGCAAGTGTCTCTTATTGTTCAATTTTTCTGTTTGCTCTCTTATTCCCAGTAGAAGGAGGACATTGGCAATTGTCTTCTGAATGGCGTACGTCTCTCGCAGAAGGCGCTGCTGTTGTAAACTCTAGTCTTCTGGTTCACACGTTTGTCTGGCTCATAGCAGGGTGTGAAACTCTGGCTGGAGCTTGACGTAACTTTCCTCCCACCGTCACGGTGCCAGTGCACCTCAGCTGAAGATGCCAGATGTTTTTTTGGAATAGCTTAATCGTCCTCCTCATTCTGTGCAGAGCCTTCCATTGCATTGCCCCCTTAATCTTCCTTCTCATACTGTGCTGAGCCTTCCATTGCATTGCCCCTTCTGGTGCATTCCAATAAAGGAACATTTCATTGAAATAATGGCACTGTTTTATTTTTTTCACAAGTTTCTTGGAAGTTTTCTAACACCGCTTGAAGCTTTGCTCACCTTGAAAGAAGCCAGGCATCGGTGACCATCACCGTGGCAGCCATCATGTAAACTAGTTTCCAGAACCCAAAGAAGATGTCGGTAGCTGTGCCTGCAGACAAATGTGTGCAAAGAAAAGAAAACAAAGAAAAGTGTCCAATGAAGCACATCACAGCAAATAGCCATAAAAGAAAGCAAGGTATACAAACAGAATACAAGCACAGGACAAAAAAAAAAAAAAGAAATAATTCATGTTGTCTTGTTCTGTTGTGTCCATGCTTGTAATTGCTTTTTTTTGTAATGAATTAATACAAACTAAGAGTAACTTTCTCTTCTATTCGTACAGTGAACCTTTGCTGCATACTACTGCACACATCGGAGCAACTATTACTCACCAATTCAACACTAGCAAAGATCCACAGTCGAAGGGCTTCTGTTTCAGCATAAAGAGATACAGTTAAACCTGCTTATAACAGACCTCCAAATAACGAATTCCTGTATATACTGAAGTTTTTCTATTCCCCGCCGTCGCTGCATATAAGCACATGTATTTTCGACCTCTATGTAACAAAGTAACTGCGGGAGACAACCTTGATATAACGAATTTTCCCCACGGACAATCTTGGAATATCGCTCCTCATTTCGGCGTTTTGGTACGAGCATGCATCTTCCGCCACTGCCCCACCGCCGCCGACGCGCAAAGCGGTGGCGGCGGGCACGCTGGTTGCGTCCGCATGAGGCGGGCCTGACCCTTACGAGGCGGCGTTGCCCCCCTTTCTCGCGGTCGCGGTCACATGCGAAAGTGTGCCCCTTCGTCCCCCCCCCCCCACTCCAAACCAAAATAAAAAAAAAACTGCTTTTGTGTGTTGGCAGTGCCACGCTTTTAGTTAGCATCACATATGTGGGGCAGCGCTGCATATGCAGGGCGCTTTCTCGAAGTTTCCGCGATAACTGCGTCTGTGTTCGTGTTGATTGCTCTTCGTTTTCGATGCCGTGCGCGCGTGCATAGTTTCAGTGCGCGTGCATGGTGTGTCCTCCTACGAAGTTCAGCTTTGCTTTTTTTTTTATTGCGATAGCAATTATGTATATGGCATTTTTGGCTGGGTTTTTGCCTCCGCCTTCATTCATTCTATATGTATAGTATACGTATACGTACCTATATATATCGAAACTCAAAAAAGAAGCCGTCCGCGCTTGGCGCTCAGCTCGTCATGATGTGCCGACTGGTGCTTATCTCCCACGCGTACTTTGCCCCGAGAATGCGGAGGGGGGAGGGGAGTTAGATGCTTATGCACGCGCGCTTATCCTTCGGTGGGGAGAATCGCGTGCCTTCGACTTTGACCAGAACGATTGCGTTTGCTTTTTTTACACAATCCCTTTGCGTTGAAACCACACTGATACCCGCCGCCAGCGATAGTGACCACCCTTAAAATCCAAGTTCATTATTGCTACTCGAGCGATCCCCCCCCCCCCCCCTCCCCACCTCCCCATGTTGTTTCATGCTCGTTTAAGACAGGTGGTTTACTTTCTGTTTGAGCATTCGATGGCAGTTCCAACACGCGGGATATGTTGCGCACTTCCAGGCAATAGGGATCAGCTGACTCATCTCATTTGAATTCTGCTTCAGCAGCGCTCGCGCGCTTTTACCTGCTTGTGAAAGTTATTATGCGTGGAGGCATGTTGTCAATTTGTACTTGTTGTGGAACATGGCGGCGACAGCAAGAACCCACCGAGAGTGTCTATATAGTTGCTATCACAATAATAACGCAGTTTTATACTGTAAAATGAGTGTTTGGGGATAGCTCTGCCTTCAGTTCCCCTTTTTTAATTTATTTTCTAAATTTTCGTACCGAACCTGCATATAACGAAAACCTCTTAACGAATTTTTTGGGAATTCTTCAATTCCCTTATATCCAGGCCTAACTGTATTTGGTACAGTCGGACCCACTCATAAGCACACTTATGCTTTTATATGAATGTCAAATATGCGAAGGCAATGGTGTTGACCTCGTATTGCACTAATTCCAGCGGGGGCGCCGTCGGTTGTGAGCGAAAGATCATCATAATGTGACGATTAATAGGGTTTTCTGGCGCAAGGCCCTGGGTGGCCAAAGAGCACTATTTATGGTGATGTAATGTTGGCCTTCTCTACAGAGCATTGTTATACACTTTTGATGGTAGGTGTACAATGGCTGTAAAGAAACCTAAAATCGCGCACTATATGGAGGCGTACAATATATGTATATAGGATAAAATTATGACAGTGACACATAATGTGATCTATGGGTGTGATATGGTTGATGAGTAAGCATGATTATCTTCAAAGAAATTAGCACAATGCACCCTCAAAGTCTTTGAAACCCAAAGGCTGGGAGGCAGGTGCTTTCTTTAATTGGTCCCCCGCAGTCATAATCTCAGCTAGGAGCGACGCTATGGGATACCTAGAAAAATTATGTCAGAGGTAATATCTTTACGAAATGCAAACAGTGCTTGATATGCGAAAAATGGTTCTCTGCCTAGCAGGGTCAAGTGGTAACAGGCAATTGGTTTATTAATGGAAAATGTTGAAAACCTCTAGTTCCACGCATTGCAATAGGACATTGTGGGGGTCCCAACACCCCTTGTAAAGTTGTTCGTGCCTCATGGCGCACATGTGTCGCGCATAGGCCGCATTTAGGGTTCACAACTATCGAGCGGTAGGTGGCGTTGTGCTCGCGAGCATTTGTATCACCTACATCATCATCATGGTTAGATGAATGGATGGATGGATGGATATGGCTGTACTCTTTAGATCGGGCGGTGGCTAGTGCCACCAAGCCGTAATACTTAATGAATCAAAAACTAGATATGTTTTTTTTTCCTTAATTAGTGAGATTGAGGATTCGTACTTTGCAGTGAAGGGTTTAGTTTTCACTCGTGCCTTGACTTTAGCCACCAATCAGATAACCTCCTTCTAGTTGATTCTACCCGCTTAAAGTCTATTTTGCGCTCACTGTCCCTAAAGCCCAGTGCTTTGAAAAACTCTGCGCCATCATCCTGAACTATAGGGTGAAGCCCTTTACAGAACATTATCAAGTGTTCGGCAGTTTCTTCTTCATCTCCACACGCACTGCATACCATTGTCTACCCCTTCGTATTTAGCCCGATCTGTCTTTGTTCGCAATACTCCCGTCCTGGCCTCAAACAGTAGAGAACTACTCTGAGTATTATCATAGATCGTTTCCTTGGCAATTTCCTGTTTAAAAGTTCGATAGATCTCTAGTGCGGACTTCTTAATCATGCCAATGCTCCACATATGGGTCTCGGCTTCCTTCACCTTCTTCTTAACCAATAATTCTTTTTGGTTTGGCCCCCTGCTGTTTTCCAAATATTTACAAGTCAATTTTCCGGTTCGCTTCCGCCATTTTGTATCGACATTCTTCATGTACAAGTAGCTGAATACCTTCCTAGCCCAGTGCTCCTCCCCCATTTCTCTTAATCGCTTCTCAAATTTTATCTTGCTGCTAGCTTCCCTGCCCTCAAATGATGTCCACCCCATATCACTTTGTACTCCCCGATTTGGTGCATTCCCGTGAGCTTCTAAGGCAAGCCTTCCTATCCCACGTTGCTTAATTTCTAATCTTGCTTGAACTTCTGATCTCATGCACAAGACCGCATTGCCGAACGTCAGACCAGGAACCATGACCCCTTTCCATATTCCTCTCACAACATCATACCTATTGTAATTCCACAGTGCCCTGTTTTCCATTACCGCTGCATTCCTGTTACCTTTAGTCGACACGTATATTTCGTGTTCCCTTAGGTACTCGGTCCCATTGCTTATCCATACGCCCAGATATTTGTATTTATCTGTTATCTCTAGCGTGACCTCCTGTATTCTAAGCTCACTACCTTCATTGTCATTAAAAATCATGATTGCTGATTTTTCCTTACTGAATCTGAAATCTAACCTATCTCCCTCATTATCGCAGATGTCCATCAAGCTCTGCAAATCTTCCTTGTTGTCGGTCATTAGCACTATATCATCTGCGCACACTAATGCTGGTAGTGCCTGATCAATGAGTTTTCCTTGTTTGACTAAAGAGAGGTTGAAGCCAAGTCCACTCCCCTCTAATTTGGCCTCTAATCCTTGTAGGTACATCACGAATAATAAGGGTGACAGTGGACACTCCTGTCTAAGTCCCCGTTTCACACAAATGGGGACTTAGACTCTGTGGAATTGGATACCTGTTTTTCTCACTTTATAATTACCTTGTTACCTTTATAGATATCCTTTAAAACATTAGTGACTACATCTCACATGCCTAGTGTGTCCTGTATTCCTCACAATTCCTCTCGAGCCACGCTATCGTGCGCTCTCTTGATATCCAAGACTCCTAGCCACAGGGGCCTGTGTTCCTTTTCTGCTATTTCGATGCACTGCGTCAGTGAGAACAGATTGTCTTCCAACCTCCTGTGTTTCCGAAACCCATTCTGCAGTTCCCCCAGCACCCCCTCACCCTCTTCCATACCTGCAGTCTTTCCTTTATAATCTGCATCGTCAGCCTGTAGACCACTGATGTCACTGATATAGGACGGTAGTTGTTTATGTCAGCTTTGTTCCCCTTTCCTTTATAGATCATGCTCATCCTGCTAAGTTTCCATCCATCGGGAACTCCTCCATCGATTATTATTTTGCTCACTGCCTCTCTCAAAGCCTGCTTAGACTTCGGACCTAATGTCTTTATCAGCCTAATTGGAATGCCATCTGGGCCTGTTGGTGTACTACTAGGAACCCTTTTCTCAGCCCTTTCCCACTCCTGTTGTGAAAATGGAGCCATTGTGCCACTTGATTCATCCTTTTCCATAGTGGCGCATAAAGCACTTATTTGTTGAAATTTTTCTGTCACCCTTGTTCTTATATATTCAATAGCAATAGAACGGTGGTGCCGGCAGTGACACCTGGCAGCAGGCCTTAGTGGCAGCACGGATGAGAGAAGTGGGTCTCTTTGGCAGGTAGCGGTTAGCGTGAACGGTTGTCTCTAGCAGTGGGTCTGCCGTAGGTGGCACTGCGGGCCGTCTGCGGTGGGCCCGCGGGTGAGCCCAGCGTTGGCGATGCCGCCTTGAGTGTGT